TTAGGGTGTCAAGGCAATATAGTTAGAGTAAATTTTTACCCTAATTCCATCTACACCTTTTTCAAGTGTAATTCAGAAATCATAACATCTAATTTAGATTAGTCAATTTAGTTTCAGAAAGAGTAAATTGAAATTTAGATTAGTCAATTGTCTTTCAGAAAATGTTAATAGTAATTCAGAAGAGTAAAATGAGTTTCAGAAACCATGAGATGTAATTCAGATTAGTTAATTTAATTTCAGAAAGCATAAATTGGAATTCAGATTAGTCAATTGTATTTCATAAAGTAATAATTGTAATTCAAAAATCATTACTGTAATTCAGAACAGTAAATAAATTCAATTTCATGTTACTGTTACTTACTGTTATCTCAAAATGAAGTTTACACATAAACACGATTTATTTTATTTTCGGAATTAAAGAATTACATACTCTTGCCATTTTACAAAATAAATAAGATATTTTGTTTTCAAAGGAATTTTGGTAATGTAATTTTTAAATGAAAATAACAAATTCTGAATTACAATTGTCGAATTCTCAATTACAAATGACAAACTTTGAATTATAACTAACACTTTCTGAAATACAACTGACTAATCTGAATTTCAATTTACGCTTTCTGAAGTTAAATTAATTAATCTGAATTACATCTGGTGGTTTCTGAAATTCAGTTTACGGTTCTAAATTACAATTAATACTTTCTCAAATATAATTGACAAATCCAAATTACAATTAAAGTTTTCTGAAATATATCTTACGCTTTCTGAATTACACTTGGAAAAGGTGTAGTTTAGGAAGCCCCTAAATAAAAATTTCAACATTTTATTTTTGTACTTGTTTAGGTGTATAAAAGTTATCATCTGTACCTACCAAACTTTGAAATTTTTTTGTAAAATGATTTCGGAAATATGGAAAAAAAAACCTATTAAAAGACGCACCCCTTGCGTAGCAGTTTTCGATATATGTTCATAGAAAATTTTTGTTATAAAAATGAATATTCTATCTCCTGTTTAAATTTGTAACAATAAAAAGTATTAAAAAATTATTTTATTTTTTGTTACTTTTGTGAATTAATTTGTATTTTTTTTATGTTTAACTAGAATCTCTTATTTCAATTTAAAATAAAAACGTGTACTTAGAGATTTTTGCTTTTTAATTCGCCTTCTTTCATTTCATTTTCATGGACCAACAAGAAACCCCCCCCTGAAATAAAATCCTGGTTACGGCCCTGTCTCTGTCACTGTCATTTCGCCACCAGATGTGGTATAAGCTCTACACTCTTAATTTTACACTTTTCTTAAATAGTATTATAGCAAAAGTTTATTCTAAAACATTTTTATTGGCATTTGATCGACTATAAATTCATCCACGTCAGCAGAGATTGTTTTTCCGTGTGAGTTAATTTTTTGTGAGCTTTTTTCGCGTGGGCTTTTATTCATATGAGTTTTTTTCATTGTGCGTTTTTTTCTAAGTGGGCTAATTTTTTGTGGGTTTTTTTTCTCTGTGTGCGTTTTTTTCGAATGAGTATTTTTCGGTGTGAGCTTTTTTCCGTGTGGGCTTTTTTCTTGGCGCATTTTTCGCGTGGGCTTATTTCATGGATCCGAAAAAATACCTGAGGGTAGCTGAAGTCGCGTTTTGTCCCCGGGTAGGTTTCAAGTCTTTGGTGCAGATGTTGTGCCAGTCGCGGCATGAAGGGGGCGAGGGCTCTTAGGGCCGTATCGAGGCAATGCGTCAAGGTCCAGCAATGTCCGGCGGCATTTCCGCTCTCTGACAGTTTGAAAGCCCTCTTGGTCGTCTCCTAAACGAAAGAGATACCGGTCAATAGCGGGAAAAAAACTACACCGAGAACACGAAAGCTCCATTAAGTCCTTAGTGGCGCAAGGTGAAATGGATTAGTTTTCCGGATGTTAGTGGAAAGTGTGTTAGTTTTTAATCCTCGGACGGAATTTTCTTCCCCAATTATTGAAACTCGGAATACATAAATGAGTGAGGAGCTTTCAATTCAATTAGAGAAATGCGATAGCTCGCTGGGGAGACTCGATGCAATATCGAGCTTTCATTTCCGCTAGAATGGAATGTACGAGAACGGAGCTTCGCCACAATTATGACGGCTAAGAACGATTTCTCTCAATTATGAGATATTTTTCGATAAAACCCCGATTATTTTATTTGTTTCAAATTAAAAATATCGATCCTATCATTTCGAGGATCTAAGTCTCAATTACGATAAAACTTTTTACAAAAAATGTCACGTGAAATTTTAAAATAATCTGACGCAAATTGAAAAAAAATAATATTTCACAAAAAGTCTTAAGGCCAAAGAACAGGTTTTAGTCTGTTACTGAATAATGAACAATCCGTTGGAAAGTTGGGAGAAATAGATACAAAATTGGATTTTTAAACGGAATATGCGAAAGAGAAAAACCTAGCTTGTGTCTCTTGAAACCGACGACATGCACAAATTCTGTGGCAAAAAATAAAACCTGTTTGAGTTTATAACAAAAAAATTTCTAAATTGAGTGTAATTTAAATCATGAAAAAGAAATAACTAACTTACCTAAACTTGAATGGTATTTGAAACTAAAAATGCACAAACAAATAAATAATTCAAAATTAAAGTGGTCTATGATTATTAAATAAGTTTTTTTAGTTCTTTTGTAAATCTCTAAAGCCTTTTAAGATTGTTATTTAAGTTTTTCTTTAAATTCTTTTGTCTCTTCTACAAATTATCAATTTTTTAAAAATTGCTCTGATTTTTTATATCTTTTTACATTTCTGATTCCTTTCTGAATTATTTTCCATGTTCTTTATTGTTATTATATTCTCTTTTGATTCTCTAGAAATTTTTCTACACTATTTGATAGAGTTTTATTTAGATTCTTCTTCCTAAATCCTTCAAGAATCTAAAGAAAGTCTACACATTCTATTCTTCTACATTTTTTTCTAAATTCTTCTAAAATTTACCTCAAGATTTTTCATCTTTCCATTATTATTTTCAAGATTCTTTTCTAGACCTATCCGTAAACATTTTTTATACAGAACATTTCTTAGATATTTCTTCAAATTCCTTCTTAAATTTTTATTAAAATTCTTTTTTAAATTTTGTTTTAATATCTTAAATTCTCTTCTTTGATATTCTTTAAAAATCAATTTTGCCAGATTTCCTCTTTCTGCCAAATTTACAATAATTTTACAATCACGCCATAACTTTTGTTTTTTTCTTTCTAGATTATTTTTTCGACTTTACTTAGATTCGTTTCTAGATTTTCCTCTAAAATCTTCTAAAAAAATTTCTCTAATGTTTTCTCCAAATTCTTTTTTAGATTTTTTTTATTTCTTTTAGATTCTT